ATTGATTAGCGTCCACAACCCAGGCATGTGCCACAACCGGGAATGGAACCGTAATAGGTTGACACTCGACCACTGAGCCACGCCGGCCAGGCCATGATAGTGTGTTTTTTTTGCTTTAGTTCTGTTTGTAACTTTCTTGTTGTCAATGTGTACTCCTTGAGCCTGATGACAGGTGTTTCTTTTATTGTTAAGGAGCAGATTTATCTCCCTCCCGGTCCCTTCTGATCACAGGCAGTAATGCTTCTTCCCTGTTGACCTCCCCAAATGCTGTTTACCAAAACGTATAACACACAAGGATTCCCAAATGGCTCTCGACCAATTTAGTATTGGATTTTGTAACACTGGAAGGTAAACATTTATTTTTGCAGAAATGAGTTTCTGTTTTCCTCTCTGAGTTTGTCAGGGAGAAAAATCTTCTGTAAAATGTTTTTCTTACTGTTATTGTAATGTGGTAGAATGGGTTCATTTGTTAAGGATGACATTTCTTAGGTAAAGTGTTTTTCTTACTGTTACTGTAATGTCTTAGAATGGGTTCATTTGTTAAGTGTGACATTTGGGGATTTGTTTCCTTCCTGGGTGAGCCTGGGGCCCTGTTTTTACTTGGTTAACGTGTGGGTTCTCTCACTTTAAGGCAATTTTCAAATCTCAGCACACCAGTGCCCTCAGGCTGTCACAGTCCTGTCCACCAGGACCAGTCTTTCTGGAAGACTCTCCTGAGCTGTCTACTCATCCTCTTCTCCCACAGGGCCCAGATGCATTCCGAAGGGAATTCTTTTCCCTCACTGGTCCCATTAGGAACCTGCTATTTGCGTAAATCAATGGTCCATCTCAACTCTCATTTTCTCTAATGCATTTTGATTTTCCTGACATTGGACGTGGAATAACTCTGAGGATAAAAATGGTGTCATTTTTCAGCCACATGGCCTCTCTATACATATTTGTGAAATGAATGCACATATGCTTCTTTTGTAAACTCTACCCTTGATATGATTCTGCCTCTTTGATGCTGTTTCTAGCCCATCTGATCCTCTAGCTCAGCGGTTCTCAACCTCTGGGTCGCGACCCCTTTGGTGGTTGAACAACCCTTTCACAGGGGTCGCCTAAGACCATCCTGCATATCATAATAGTAGCAACATTACAGTTATGAAGTAGCAACGAAAATACTTTTATGGTTGGGTCACAACATGCGGAACTGTATTTCAAGGGCTAGAAGGTTGAGAACCACTGCTCTAGCTTGTCTTCCTGCCTCCTCACTACACACGTTTCCGGAGTACAGTTCTAGTCTTCACTCTCTCCTGGAACTCTCACCCTCTTATGGGCCAACATCTCTCATCACTGTGTCCCCGATGCTTTGTGCCTTTCCTCCTCACCTCTGAACCATTCTTTCGGTTCAGCAGGCCACCCCTGCACGTCTGCAGGGCTTCACCCAGGTGAACTCAACTTGTTCTTCCACTTCTCTTTTTCCCCCTCTTCTAATTAATGGCATCTTCCCAATCACCCAGTCACTGGTGGTTCTATAGATCCAATTCAATGCTCATGTCTTTTGATTATGTCTATGGTCTGGAATAGAGCACATGTTCAAACCTCTGCTTAACTCAAACACTACCTTCTCCATGAACACTGCCAACCAAAATAATTTCTCCTTCTGTGACCCCTCATAGCACTTTCCTTCCAACAGCCATTTTCCCCCTTTGACCTTTGCTCTGTTTCCCTTGTAATATTGAATATTCCAACTCTTTGAACTTGTTTCCCCTCCTGCACTACATTCTAAGCATCTTGATGGAGCACTTGTGTTAGAGTTGATTTTGAGTATGGGCAGGGGCCCAACCCAATACCTTATGGGGTGCTGAGTCACATGCAGGGGCTGGGAAGAAAAGCCTGCTCGTTGTCACTTGCTCTTGAACCCTGTTAGTGGCAGGGTGACATCTCCCACAGAATCCCATAGGTCATCACTTCAGTTGCATGTGGAACAATGTGTATCTGAAGCATGTCAGGGTGAAGCTGGTATCACCCACTTGCTCTTTTGACAAACTTGTAAATGCCTGCCCCTCCCGCTCTCTCTTCTGACGTCTCAGTCACAACCACTAAACCAATGAGGAGAACACTTGACACTTGGAGACGGTGACTGTCATGGCCAAGAGCTGCCATCAGTTACTGGGAAGAGCCAAAACTCGGTCCCAGGTCGCCTGGCAGCTAAGGGTTAACAAGTGTGGGTCCCCAGGCGTGGTGTTCAGTGCTCAACATTCAGAATGTTCTCTCTGAACTTATGGAGATTCCCAGGTTCCTGCCATCATGGGCGAACCCTCCCATGGGTGCTGTGCCCATGCGTGGTTCCTTGCCTCCTCCCATGGTGTGTCCTTTTGTCCCCAGCACGCATGGGGGAAAAAGGAAAAACCAAATGGGTTAGGCATGGCCTTCTAACCTTACTAGTATTATTGTTCCAAGAAATTTAACACAGAAAAAGCCAGCCAACTTGTAGTAGATGGTTTCTAGATGCTGGACATTCTTTGGGCCACCCCAGTCCCAGTTACATGGTTATCCTTCTAATTCATGGTGAGTGAAGAAACAGAGGGTCCCCACAGCCTGGCTTCTCCACCAGCATCCTTAACAACTCTTGGATGAGGGCAAAGATGTCACCCACCTGGAAAACCCACAGAGGGCATGCTGTGTGCTAAGATGGTCCTATGTACTTCCAGCTCAGTGGTTCTCAAAGTGTGGTTCCCATATAAAGCATGGACACTCCTGGGTCCACTTAGAAACAGAAACTCTCAGGCTCCACCCTAGATCTTTGAAAATGAAGCTGTGGGGAGGGGTCAGCAATCTGTCCCAACACCTCCCGGAATGCTGATGTGCCCTCTGGTTGGAGACCACTGCTCTAATGGATAGGCCTATTTTTCCATCTTGGACACAGCTTCCTCAGTGCCCTGGGCTGCTCTGAAATCTCTGTTCTAGTGTCCTAACCCTTCCTAGAGTGAAAATAATTACTAAGCCAGCTACTCAATGTTGAGCATGTTATATGATGCCAGATGCCAGGGATAATTCTAGACATCTATGTATATTAACTTGTTTAATGCTCACCACAGCCCTATGAGGTTCCCCTTCTGTAGATGAGAAAATTGAGGCACAAATTGACTGGCTGAATTGCCCAGGGTCACCCCGGGAATAAATGTTAGCACTTGGTTCTGAAACCAAGGCAGTCTGACTCCCAACCACATGCTATGCCTCGTTAGAGGTTTCTGCCACCTCCCCACCCAGGCTACAGTTTTTCTCCTTTCTAAACAAATGCCTGTATTAGTCTGCTAGGACTGCCATAGCAAAGTACCACAGACTGGGTGTCCTAACAGAATTAATTTTCTCATATTTCGGGAGGCTGGAAGTCCAGCCAAGATCAAGAAACCCTGTCGGCAGGGTTTCTCCTAAAGCCTCTCTTCTTGGTTTGCAGGTAGCTGCCTGCTCACTGTGTCCTCACGTGGTCTGTCCTCTGTGTGCATGTCCCTGGTGGCTCTGTGTGTGTCCAAAATCTCCTTTTTTTGTTTTGTTTGAAATGATATATTTTTACTTTTCAATTGCATTTAACATTCAATATTATATCAGTTTCAGGTGTATAGCATAGTGGTTAGACATAATTTATGAAGTGATTCCCCAGTAAGTCTAGTACCCACCTGGCATCACACATAGTTATTGCAATATTACTGATTGTATTTCCTATGCTCTACTTTACATCCCCAAGACATAGTATAACTACTAATTTGAACTTCTTAATCTCTTTATCTTTTTCAACCTTCTCTTATCTGCCAACCATCAGTTTGTTCTCTGTATCTATGAGTCCTTCTCTATTTTGTTTGTTCATTTATTTTGTTTTTCAGATTCCACATATCAGTAAAATTATATGGTAATTGTCTTTCTCTGTCTGACTTATTTTATTTAGCATAATGCCATCTAGGTCCATTCATGTTGTTGTAAATGGTAAGATTTAATCTTTTTCATGGCTGAGTAGTGTTTCATTGTGTACATGTACCACACCTATATTCAATTGTCTATCATGGATACTTCAGTTGCTTCCATATCTTGGCTATTATATATGAAATATTCTTTGTCTCTGGCGATAACCTTTGTTTTGTCTAGTGTAAGTATTGCTCTTCCAGCTTTTTTCAAAAATTCCACTTGCCTCCGACATTTGGTGATCGTTATGTACATAAAGGTATCAACCTTTAAGTCTGTGGAGTTGGGCCCATTTGGCCTGTGTTTCAACCCTTCCATTACTAGGTGTGCAACCTTGGGGCAGGTTAGCATCCCTGAGACTGTCTCTTAATTTGTGAAGTGGAATTAATCTAGGTTAATAATTAATGGAATTAATCTGGCAACTCCCTAGGGTTGCTGTAAGGTTTAAATTAGGTCATAGAAATAAAGCACTTTACACTACCTGCTCGTGCAGAAGGAGATGTACGTAATCTCTGTGAGCACTGCTTCTGCCCATGGGGCATGTTCATTACTCGGCAAAGATTTCCTTCACATCCTAAGACCAAAGCACCAACCCTGTTAACATTGCCTCTGGTGCATGACTATGTGTCTGGACCACTTAGGGCATTTCCTATAAAAACCAGTGTATGTGCAGATGGAAATGCCCATCTAGCAGTTGACAAACAGGACCAGGGGACAGTGGGAGGACGGGAATGCTGGCCAGGGAAGGGCTGTGGGCCACAAAGACAATCAACCTCAGAGGACACCTGCCAGCCTGCAGCAGTGGGTTCTAAAAGCCGGGCCTCCCTTCTATCCAGGTGTACAGCTGGGCTGCCGGAAGAACATTGCTGTCCTGGGCCGCTGTGTCGTAGATGTCTTCTGACTCACACTGACTGGGTTTTCACAATTTTCTACTAAAATCACCAACACGCAAACTTTTCCGCAATCTCAATTTCCTGAAGGTCTGTCGGCATCGCAGTGGGTTGGACACACGTTTGAGATGACATGTCATGGACGATCTTGTGTTTTGTCATTTACAGAGGAGCTGAAGGCCCCCTTAGAGGAGTACGTCCACAAACGCTACCCGGGGCTGGTGAAGGTGGTGCGCAATCAAAAACGGGAGGGCCTGATCCGAGCGCGCATTGAGGGCTGGAAGGCGGCCACCGGCCAGGTCACTGGCTTCTTTGATGCCCACGTGGAATTCACTGCTGGCTGGTAGGTCACGCGCTGAACCCTAGGGGTACTCAGGACCTGCAGTGAGGTCAGGAGGGGTTAGAGTCTGGGAGGTGGGTGCCTGATTCCTCTGGGGCCCCTGGAAGAACGGAAAAGAGTGGTTGGAAAAGAAGGTGAGACCACAGTCTGGGATAAAACTGGGAAGCAGGGAGAAATTTATCTGCTGTCTACTCAGTCCATCATGTCATTGTCATAGGTCCCTTGTGATTCCTCGTTCTAGGCAGACACTGTGTCTCAACTTTCACTAAGTTGGCCTGTAGTAATCCTCTCAGCCTCCTGATGATGATAAAGATGTCTGTCTTGTCCGTGTGGCAGGTCCGGCATGGGCTGTCTGTGGCTCTGCTCCACCTGTCCTCTGGACTCACTCCTGTCTAGGAAACACCACTTTTGTGGCTCAGAGAAAAGAATGCCGGCTGAACCTTGCAATGACTATGAAAGTGTCTGCTCTGTGGTGACGTTGTCACTTCTGCTCACATCCCCCTGGTTAAAGCAAGTCACATGTCCAAGCTAAACATTGGTGTTGAGGGAGAGAGTACAGCCCTCTGCCGGGAGGCCCTGTGAGCCACATGGTAAGAGGCAGGGTTTTTCCTGGAAGGGGAAGCAAATTACTGGGAACAGTGGTACACACTATCACCCTGGAGATGAAACTGCTCACTTCACAAGCATTCTTTGAACACAGTCTCCTGTCCCCATGCTCAGTAAACCATCCAGAGAGAGACTGAGCTGGATGCTTCTCAGCGTGTGGCACCAGGCAACCTGGGGGAAGTGTGGTCCATTTAAGGAGACACTGGGGCTTTGGGTTTGGGGCTGAAGCCAGACCAACTGGGTTAGAAGCCTGGTTCTACCACCAGCTGGCTATGTGGCCTGGGGCAAGTGACTTAACCTCCCTGGACCTCCGTTTCCTCATTTGTAAAATGATGACCATACTATGTATTTAATGGGATTGTTGTGAGATTTAAATTAGCCAGCACATGTGACATGTTTAGAATGGTGCCTAGCTGGTAGTGAGTCATCAATAAATATGAACTATCATTAGCTTATTAGGAAAAATATGTGTTCATAGATTAACAAAGGCAGCCTGTAATCAGAGTGACATGGACAAGGTGGAGAAGATGGTCTAAGAGTTGAGAAGGAGGAGAGAGCCTTCCTACTGGGGGTAATTAGGGAAGGCTTCTTGGGAGAGGCGGCACATGATCTAATAAGCCTCGGTAGGTAGCCAGACTTCCTACCAGTGGCAGAAGGGCATTCCCAGAGGAGAGCAGCGTGAGAGAAGACTAGGAGGGGACAAAGAACTGAAGCGTGTCTCGACCTCAACTTAGATGGTGTGTGCAGAAGTATTGGAGGCAGTAAATGGTCCAGCGTATATTTTATTGCTCATTTTAAATAGAAAGATGAGGTGAGCCAGCAGGTAATTCAATAGCTGCAAATGAAAAGAGATGGGATGTAGGCCGAGCATTCTCATCATTCTTCCAAATAATGCAGAGGAATGGGGTTTCACTTGACTCTTTTCCGGAGCCTGTGCCCCATGTTAAGCGGGGAGATTAATGCCTGGCTTGTGAGAGCCATCTTCTTCCGGAATGTGGGGATCTGCTGGGGAGACACACACTGGCAGGGTGACTTACCATCTGCTTTCTCCCAAGCCAACAGGGCTACACTTAAGAACCTGGAGCCTTCAAACTTCAGAGGGAAGGCAGGGGAGGGGCTGGAGTGGGGGGCAGGGGGAAGAGATCAACCAAAAGCATAACCAATAGACACATTCACTAGGGCAGTAGTTTTCAACTTTCCTAATGCCGCGACCCTTTAATACAGTTCCTCATGTTGTGGTGAAAGAGTCCATAAAATTATTTTCGTTGCTACTTCATCACTGTAATTTTGCTACTGTAAACAGTATGTACTTATATATGTGTTTTCCGATGGCCGGGGAGAGGTCAATGGAGAAAAAAGGTGACCTATGTAATACTTTAAACAATAAAGAATTAAAAACAAAAACAAAGGAACAAAAAAATGAGGGCATGTACTGGGGGGTGGGGCTGGCCGGGGAGAGGTCAATGGGGAAAAAAGGAGACCTATGTAATACTTTAAACAATAAAGAATTAAAAACAAAAACAAAGGAACAAAAAAAGCTGGAGCCAGGTCACTGCCTATCTCCCCGTGCAGCCCTGAGGGGCAGGCTCTCTGGGAGGCAGGAATCTGCCTGCGTTTGCATTTAATTCATCCATCCGGTCAGCCATTGCTAACCAATTCAATTAGATCCCTTTTAAGAAATCAATTAAATAATCAATTAAAACAACTGAAATAGTCACACACACACACAAAGAAGCTAGCGAAATGCTTATTAAAACCAGGCCATCGAGGACAGAAGTGACCTATTTTGGGAAAGGGAATTCAGCTCCTGCAGAAAATACAAGAGGCATCTACCAGTGCCCTGAGGGGGAACTGAAGCCGCTGTGTAAAACTGTAATGCGATGCAAAGCATAGAGTCAGGTGGCCTTGCTCTGGCCCACTCGGCAGGTTTAAAAGACAGGCTGGCACTTTCTGAATTCTTGCTCCAGGCCTCTCCTGCAGGCATCAGCATGGTAGCATCCCACTTGGCGAGGGCCTGGGCTGCGTGGCAGGGCGCTCACTCACAGCTGCACGATCCAACTGGGGCAGGCCACTTGGGAGCCTCAGTTTGCACCCGAGCTCCAGCCTGCCAGAGCCCATCCGTTAGCTACATTGCTGCTGCTCATTTCCTGCCATCCGGGGGTCTGTGCCCGTTGAGGTGTGGGCTACTCAGGAGAGAGACTTTATTTCTGCTTCTCTGTTTCAGGGCCGAGCCGGTTCTCTCCCGAATCCAGGAGAACCGGAAGCGGGTGATCCTCCCGTCCATCGACAACATCAAGCAGGACACCTTTGAGGTGCAGCGGTACGAGAACTCGGCCCACGGGTACAGCTGGGAGCTGTGGTGCATGTACATCAGCCCCCCGAAAGACTGGTGGGACGCCGGAGACCCTTCGCTCCCCATCAGGTCTGTGGCAGGCACGCTCTGGTGGCCTTGAGTCCCAAATCCCAGAGGACAGAGGAGCCAGGGGAGGAGGCTAGGGGACACTCTGGGGATGGGGCAGTGGTGTGTAAACGCTGCTTTAGGAATTTTGGGTGTCCTACCATCGCAGCATTTTGATCCTTTAGCTACAGTTTTCAAGAGCAGCTTCTTAAACAGAAATCCTGAAAGACTGAATGGATGGCGTTACACAGGGTGTGAAAGCCCCCTTTCTAAGACCCCCAAAGGGGACTCTTTTGCTGTTCAGCACAAGCTTTATTCAATGGTTCTATCCATAATTAAAAGTGGGCATATGAAAAAGAAATAATTCAATGGCCAGAGAATGGGGAAGCAGAAGCATATTCTGGTTTTGGCTTGGGGCAGAGAAGTTGTGTAACCACGAGGGTAGAAATGAAGGGGTGGTCTAGGCAAATAAGGGAGAGGAATATTCATGATCTTTCTGGGAACGGGGTGGTGGTTTTCCCCAGAATCGGGCTTCCACCTCTTTTCTGTTGTTCTTTGTGGTCCCTTCTGGTTATCATCATGGTGAATATCAGTTGTCATGGTGCTCCAGGTGTCTGCAGAGTGGGGTCCTTCTGGAGGTTGAGGGGAAAATCCACCTTTTTGCCTTTTCCAGCTGGCAGAGGTTGTCCTCACTCCTTGGCTCATGACTACATCACATCCCTTTCCCCCTCCTCCTTCATCACACGGCCTTCTTCTTTCTTTGACTTTCTTGCCTACCTTTATGATGACATTTGGGGTGCACATGAGTACTCCAGGATAGTCTCCCCATCTCAAGATCCTTAATTACATATGCCTAGTACTTTTCCCCATATAAAGTAACATGTACAGGTGGATATTTTTTTTGCCGGGCGGCTGGGGGATGGGGGCGTGGGTCATTATTCAGCCAGCCACAAATGCCCTGACTTTTCAATTAAGAAGATACTCGAGTTATAGTTCAGTAGTGTTTGTGATTTCTAATTGAGGCCAAACTGACTTAAACCTTCATGGTTCTGTCTTACATTAGTGGAGAGTGGAGAAGCGTTCTCACTTGGTCCTAGTTTTAGGACACTGTTGGTATAAAGAGGGATCGCAAGAAGGAATAATGGAAGAGCAGTGAGAACACTTTACAGGTAGCCATGAAGTTCTTTCTCAGTTTACAAATTTTTAATAAACAAGAGTTAGATTGCAACATGTACAGAACCCCCCATCCCAGCACCCCCATCCTCTGCCCTATCTATAATAATAAAAGCATAATATGTTAATTAGACTAGACAGCCAAACAACCTTCTGGATATCATTCTGGATGTCCTTCTGGATGAAGCCGCCACGGTGGGGGCCGAGGCAGAGGCAGTTAGGGGCAATCAGGCAGGCAGGCAAGTGGTTAGGGGTGATCAGGCAGGCAGGCAGGCGAGCGGTTAGGAACCAGTGGTCCCATATTGCAAGAGGGGTGTCTAGCTGTTGGACATCCCCCGAGGGGTCCTGGATTGCAAGAGGATGCAGGCCAGGCTGAGGGACCCCTTCCTCCCATGCATGAATTTCGAACATTTCTAGTGTTCTTATATTTTCCTGCTCAAACTGAAAGCTGAAGCACTGCATTAGAGTAGAGCCACCTATGGGCAAAGCTATGTAGCAAGGAAGGCAGCCTTTTGGGCCAATAACTTTCTCAGCCAGAGATGCCTCCATGGCTCATTCCCATCCCAACCTAGATATTCAGTGTCTTCATGCGATGCTACAGGGCCACATCTTGGCTCTCTACAAATAATAATGTAGATTCATCACTAAGGTGTCATCTGAGAACCAAAGCATAACCTTTGGGACATTTAAAAGTTAATGGGTGAGATACTACCTCCACCCATTTGGATGGTTACTATTAACAGCAACAACAGAAAAGAACAAGTGTTGGCAAGGATGTGGAGAAATTGGAAACTTGTGCACTATAGGTGGGGATATAAATAGTGTAATCACTGGAAAACAGCTTCTAAAAAAATTAAAAATAGAGTGGCCATATGATCCAGTAATTCCACTTCTGGATATAAACCCAAGAGAGTTGAAAGCAGGCTCTCAAACAGATAGTTATACAGTACACCCATCTTCATAGCAGCATTATTCACAATAGTCAAAATGTGGAACATAATGTGGTACAAATATGCAATGGAATACTATTCAGTCTTTAAAAAGGAAGGAAATTCTGACACATATGACAGCATGGATGAATCTTGGAAACATTATGCTAAATAAAATCAATCAATCACCAAAAGACAAAACTATGATTTCGCTCATATGAGGTATCTAAAATAGCTAAATTCATAGAGACAGATAGTACAGTGGTGGTTGCCAGGGGCTGGGGTGAGGGAGGAATGGGGAGTTGTTACTTAATGGGTACAGAGTTTCAGCTTTGCAAGATGAAAACAGTTGTGGAAATTGGTTGCACAGTAACATAAATACACTTAACACTGCTGAACTGTACATGTAAAAATGGTTAAGAGAGTAAATTTTATGTCATGTGTATTTTACCATGATTACGACGAATGAATGTGGAGTGCTTCAAGACCCCTTGGCTCTCAGATTTTGAAGGAATGAAGTTCGAATGATTGGCTGACATGCAGTGAGTTTTCAGATTTTTGGCCAAATGTTGCTTCCTCCATGACATACGGGAAGGCTGACCTCTGGCCTTGATAAATAAGGGAATGAATGAGGTTGTGACGGTGGTGTTAGTGACAGAGAGAAAGAAGTAACGGTAGTGCAGTGCCGTGGGTGCCCGGAAAACACGCTGTCTCTGTGTATATAACGCACTAAAGCAAAAATGTGGCTTGTATTTTATGAGCTAGGGCAACATTAACAGATGATGAATAGGCATTTTTAAAAGACTAGAAAATAGAGTCGTGATCATGAATCATTAATTCACATGCATTTCTGATGTACAAAATAGAATCACATACCAATGATCTCTTTTTAATGTACCATCACTTATAAAATGCTTAATCTGTTTATAGTTGATGGAGATATTTAATTGTAGGAAGGAGTTTTTATGGCCCTTCTGATGTTATTAAGCAGATACAATATGATTCGTAAACATTAGGACATGGTGGTCTCCCCCCCTCCCTGCTCCCCCATGGTCCCGTTATTTGAATAGTAATGACTTTATTCTGGCAAAGGATGGGAGGAGAAGAGCTTTTTCGCAATCCAAATGGCATCAACATGGATGGTCTTTGTATAAGAGCCTTCTCAGTAGGCAACATAAAGTAGGAGATTTCGCATTAAGGGAATGTTTCCTTTCTGTTTTACTTCTTCCCCTCTTTCTTTCTGTATAACTTCTGCTTGGCACACAGCTCTTTCCCGAAGGTTTTCTATTTTTCCTCCGCTCGCCTTTGTGTACACCAGAGTTTCAGGTGCAGAGGGTGGGCAGTTGCCATTAAAGAGGACGGAGCTAAGTGTAAGGCATGGGGATGGGAACTGAAGAACTCAGGCCCCCCAGGGAGGTGCCATGCGATGGTGTTGGAGACACAGGGCCGGCGGTATCAGGTCCTGAGACGTGTAAGAAAAGACACACATCCCTATCATTTCATAAAATCTCTGAATTCTCAGTGTTGGCAATAAATCCCTCTTCTTCCAGACAACATGTTTCCAGACTGGATTTGACCACGAGGGTCCCTGGAATTGATCGTTAGTCTACACGGGCTGCTTTGGGGACCTCTGACATTCCCAGGACAGCCTGACTCCATACGTCTCACACTGGGAGCTGTGGGTACTTGTGGTTTGTGGTATTATTGTGGGGCTGAGGGATTGGGGGAAAGTGTGGCTCAAAGCTACAGGAGAACCATGGCTGGACTTCCTGGAGCTTGAGTGAAGGCATGAGAGATCCCCCTCCTGCCTCCATTGGGTGCCCAGTCCTCTGCCTGTGGCTGAGATTGTTAAAGACTTTGAGAAGAGTTGACCCAGCTCTTGCCTCTGTGCAGAGAAGGCTCCCAAATCTATGTCTTAATTAAACCCTAATTTTTCACCAAAATGGCATCATCTCCAATGTTACATTGAAATCCTATCAGTAGATCAGTTGAGCTTAAACTTTTTTGAGTCAAGGACCTCTCTGATAATCTAATGAAAGCCAGAGACCCTATCACCCTGAACGTGGATAAACCGACACAACTTTGCATATAGTTTTATGAAGTTTATGGGTACCTTGAAGCCACCCTCCTAATGTTCCACTGGGCTTATCGTGGCTTATCTTCAGAATGACTGCTAGATATTTCTACTTTCCCAGTTGGAGAGCCTTTCTTGACCATTTTTTTTATCACCCACTTGTCTATATGCTTTATGCAGCCAGGACTGTGGTTATTTCATTTGCATCCCTAGGACTTAATGAGTACCTGGATGCCTGACAGCTGAGGCTCAAAATAGAGGTCAGGGTTAGTGAATCATGAGGAAGAGGGTAGGATTGCTTAGAGGTACATTAGAGAAGGAGAAAGAAAACCCAAATATTTCTGGGTGAAGGGAGTCTTCATAAGGGGGACTGACAAGTACTGAGTGCTCAGAGAGGTATGGGGACAACCAGAGCAGCAGTGGCATAAAGATTTAATAACAGGCCCTGGCCGGTGTGGCTCAGTTGGTTGAGCATTATCCCATGCACCAAAAGGTTGCTAGTTCAATTCCCCATCTGGGCACATGCCCAGGTTGTGGGTTTGATACCTGGTCGGGGTGTGTGTAGGACACAACTGACCGATGTTTCTCTTTCTTTCCCTCTCCCTTCCTCTCTCTCTCAAATCAGTAAAACTTTTTTAAAAAGCATCCAATAACAGGAAGACTACAAGCACCATTTGGTTTAAGGGATTAGCTGGGCATAATCTTAGTAAAACCATCATAATATAGTATGTGGGTCTGAAGCTGGATGGCAGTGGGTGGAGAAATGAACTGGACATGAAGAGGTGAGGAAAGTGAGGGTGGATTATACTTCTGAGATATTTGAGGGAGACTTGGGGAGGGTTAGAAAC